GAGAGCCACTAATCCAAACTTAGCAGCTGTTTGTTAAAACCCCCTTCAGCCTAAAGAGGGAATCGGGCCCACATGATTTTTCTTAAACACCAACCACGCCCGCATCCCCTGGATAAATATTACTTTGTTCACAGCTATGCATTTTAATGATTATTACCAGGGACACAACACTACTGATTTTCAATTCCAAACCCAGTTTTTAGATCTCAGTAGTTGCATTATTGTATCAAGACCTGCAAAAAGGGGAGAAAAAAATACTGCAGCTTTCCGTGACAAGACTAAAATGGAGGTAGCGCAGGAGGTCAGCTGAATTCCTCATTTTAAACACCACCTAGTTGAGATGGGGGTGGCTGAGGAATACGGTATCCCCATTTCAGCTACATGAAAGCCCTGTCACTGTGTATTTAGTTCAGAACCCTGGCATGGTGTGGCCGTGCAACATAAAGAACAAGAGCCTTCTGAGGCTGAGAAGTGTAGGAAAGGGATGTGATTTTATCTGGGATCTTTCTCAACCAGTGAGGACTTGTAATTGAAAGCAGCAAGTCTAGTTCTTGTTGTAAGGAGGTGGTGCTGGCAAAGTGTACCGTGAAATAGCCATGGTTTAATGGTATCTAGGTATTTTTCCATTTAGGATTCATTTAATTAATTGTCTTGACTTGTTTTTCATTGTGTAAATGAGGTCATTCTAAAAAAAAAAACATACTCAACAGTATGTGTATAGTCAAAACATGTTAAGATTTATTTCCATTTATCTCTGAACAAGAGATTTCAAACCATTTGAAAGGAGAGCAAATAAGGAGAGGGAAAATTAAATGTTGAATACAGGAGGGAAAGGAAGGGAAAGAAAAGTAAAATAACCGGTAAAGGGAAAGTTAAGAAAGAAACAGGAAAGGGAAGGGAAGGGAGGGGAAGAGGAAAAGGAAAAGGAAAAAGACAAGTACAGATACAGGAAACGGACAGGAAAGACAGAAACCATTTTCCTGGTAAGTTGGTGTGTCTTGTTAGTTTTAGTTTTCAGCTCTGAGCCAATCTGTATGGGGAAAAGATCCCGCCTGAGCTAGAGAGCTCAAAACCTGTCTGCGGGCACTCAATGGCTCTCTTGTGAACACACTAAGATTAGCGCCATCACAGATCACCAAAACAGGAGGACTCTCGACTGCCGACTCGACTGGCTTTTTACGTCTCTTAAGCAGGGACGGTTTATTTTTACATCCATGTGATCAGGATTTGTTTATCGCGGCGTCTGAGAAGCCCAAGTATCCCTGAGTTGTTTACACAAGCAACCAACCAGCAAATTAGGCCTCAAATCAAATGTAGCGCTGACACAGGGGCCCGCCTGAGAACCTGTCTCCACTCCACCTCTCTGGTTTTACTATGAGTGACATGCACAAACACGGCCATTTCTGGGGCCCAAATTCCTGCCCTCCCAACACAGATGCGCAAATACTGCCGCTGAACTAGTCAGAGAACACGCTACCATTGTGCTAACGCACTAAACCGCCACCGCAGAGATAAATGATAGCTTTGTTTTACCCTTCCTGACAGCTTTATTTCTGTGGGAGTAAAAGATGAGGCTTGCCCAATTATGCCTCCTTCTGCCATGCTGCATAATGTCTGCTAGCATGTAATCATGACTGAATTAGCGCTACATGACCCCGTGTGCCAGCGGCTCTTGAGAGCATGGTAACCAATCTATGAAACTGACATTGAGACGATATCCTCCACTTAACTGCCCATTTCGGCTCTGAATTGAAAACATGTTCTGCCAACAGCCATTTCTGGGTCCCAAATTCCTGCCCTCCCAACACAGACGTGCAAATACTGTCACTGAACTAGTCAAAAAAACACACTACCATTGTGCTAACGCAGTAACCCGCCACTGCGGAGATAAATGATAGCTTTGTTTTCCCCTTCCTGACAGCTTAATATCTGTGGGAGAAAAAGATGAGGCTTGCCCAATTATGCCTCCTTCTGCCATGCTGCATAATGTCTGCTAGCATGTAATCATGACTGAATTAGCGCTACATGACCCCGTGTGCCAGCGGCTCTTGAGAGCATGGTAACCAATCTATGAAACTGACATTGAGACGATATCCTCCACTTAACTGCCCATTTCGACTCTGAATTGAAAACATGTCCTGCCAACATAACCGCTTGGCTGCTAAATTGTGAAACGGAAAGGAAAAACAGTAGCTTAGGCAGGTTTAAAAAGTTAGCTGAAGGACTTGGTGAGCACAGGCTTTATTCGAGCTGCCTATAGCATGAAGGCGAGCTAATGGGATGTGCTTGTTGACATGGGCACGCAGAGCAGGCAACAGCAACCTCATTTACTGCACAAAGAAATTAGTCGGCCCCTTAGAAACACAGGTTGAGGTTAAACAGAACAACAGAGAAAGAGATTAAAACAGCCTGACAGTCCTCCCAGAGTCTTTAGCAGGTGGCGGGTGCCAGCGTCTGTAATTTACCTTTCAGTGGTCAAGCCCTCTGGTTCAGCTAAAGGGAAAAAAACAAGTCTCTCAGCGTTTCTTACACAGCACTGATAATGCAGGAAGACTTTGCCACTATAATATCTCAATCTCTAATATGTATTCTGCACAAGCCAGTCACACAAAAAGCATGTCTAGACATTTGTAACGAGACTTCTGAAGGGTTTAGATACCGATTTCCTCAAAATCAGCTTTAATACGATTTTTGGCCTTTGCAGGAACGAAACCCTCCTCCATTTTAAAGACTTATTCGAGAGATGTAATAGCAACCCAGGGGTAAAATTCAAGACAATGTCCAGCTGAACTGCACAGACTGCTGACTTGTCTAAAATTAGCGTTTTGACTACAAAATTCTCTAACAGTTCTCCCTCTAGGGAGGGTGAGGAAATGTCCTAATCACAGGCTTTCCTAAAGCAAGTGCTGGTTTTTCTCTTGGTCTTGTGCTGTCAGTTGTTTTCTCTTGTTGGCTTTCTTTCAATGAATTTCCTATAAACCTCTGGACTGCTCTTTTTAGACCTCAGTATATTATTTTCTGATCTCAGGCTATGTTCTGAATGGAACAGTAGTTTAGTGCAGTTTCGTGTCGCAGTTAGCAAGTATATTATTTTAAAGTGTATTATTTCCATTAGAGCTGGGTTTTGACACAAATTTCATGATTCGATTCAATTCGATTCTCATTCACAAGCTTGCGATTCGATTCGATTACCAATTCAGTTAGATTCGATTCAATATTGATTATTTTGGATGCATATCAGGTACAGTACATGCCAAATTTTCTCAAGGAAAAAAAATCTCTCAACTAATGCTGTAAAATATACATGAGAGTCAGTTGGTACTACATTACTATAATATTTAAGGGTAAAATTGACTGATTTGTAGTACAACTGCTAAAATTACACTTAATGAAGTTTTTAAAATAATAAAGTTATTTTTCATACAATTACATAATAATATTTCTACTTCAATTCATTTTTTTTAAATGTAAACATTTAAATTATGGCTGTCATAGAAACTTGATGGATTTATTCAAACATAAATTAAACATTGAAGAACAGTAAAAATTATAATGTATGTGTTATATGGTGCATATATTTAGCAAAATGCCCCTCTCTACAGTTTATTTTTCTAGCTGATTAATGGGTTTATGGTTACCGAATATGAGATATGGTCTTGTTTAGGGATCTGTGCCTTTGTGCACGGACATCTGACTGCGGAGTAGTGATTGTTCTTTTCGGCAATAGTGTGCACCCTTAATTTACAGAGAAAAGAAGGTCAG